GGGGCAGGGACCCCGCCCCCTAGTCCTCTGCGTTGGTTCGGTAGGCCTCGATGAGGCCCTCCAGTGAATGCACGAAGCCGGACACGCTGCAGATGCCGCCAATGACGAAGATGGCCACATCGAAGAAGACCTGGTGCCACAGCAGCTTGCGCCAGAGTAGGCGCAGGTGGAAGAGGCTGGGCAGCAGGAAGCAGAGGCCGGCGCCGGTGAGACTGCCGGTGAGGCCCATGAGCAGCGCGAAGTGCGGCACGTAGATGGCCATGAGCAGCGTGAAGACCACCAGCGCGCAGCGCAGCGTCAGCCCCCAGGACTTGAGGCGACCGTCGCCTCCGTAGCAGGCGGGGAAGAAGGCGCGGCTGCCTTCCTGGAAGAGAGACTTCTCCAGCACTTCGACCGCCGCGAAGAAGGGCAACGGGTAAGACAGCAGCGCCTTGGCCACCAGGAAGAGATTGACCACGGCGCGGATGGAGCCGGGCAGGTTATCCGTGATGACCTCCTTGGTCTCGTCGGCCCAGGTGAGGTAGGCGACGAGCGCGAAGAGTCCCTTGAGCACGCAGGCGGCGATGTGCGTCCAGTTCATCATGCAGTGGAATTCGCTGGGCTGTTGCATGTTGCCTTCAAGCGAGGGCAGGAAGATCTGCGACGTGTAGCTGAACACGATGATGCCGATGGAGATGGGAAATTTCTTGACGTCGATGTAGAACTTCACCTTCTCCCAGGCCCAGTCACGCGCGCGAGAGAGACAGTAGGCAATAACCAGGATGTTGATGACGAAGTGGGCCAGCGTGCACAGCAGACTGAACTTGGACACGGCCTTGAGGTTCTTCAGAAAGGCGCAGGGCAGCAGCACCGCCGTGGCGATGATGGACCAGGACTTTTGCGACACAGGCAGCCCCGGGAAGCTATTGTACATGAGGTTGCCGCTCACTACCACGTACAATATGCACGTCATCACCAGCTCGATGATCTGCGCCACATTGACCACGCGTCCACCCAGTGTGGGGAAGCGAGGAGCGCAGCACGCATTGGCTATGGCCACGTAAGAGTCCCGCACGCGCACCACCTCGCCGTCTTCGTTCTCCTCGTATAAGCATGCGATGAGGATCTTGCCTGTGTAGCAACACACCACTGCAGCGAAGATGATGAGAAACAACCCCAGGTAGCCGCCGTGGGAGGATGGCGTAGGGTAGGCCCAGCACAAACATGCCCTGTGGTGCAAAGAGGCAACCAGACCCAGGAGCTCAGCGGAGGCAGCCTTGGAAGGGGACCATGGCAGTAAAGCCCAAAACTATCGCTAGGGGGCGCTAGGGGAGGAGGACTTGCGCCTAAACCACCAGGAGGAGGGGGGGGAGGGGGGCGGGCTGAATCCTTGTGAAAGGGGCCCTAACTCAGAATCGCAGCATTAAGTCAGTAGGAAGGCTAGTGCAGGTAGGGAATGGAGGAGGCTGAGGGTAGAGGGGATTATACAGATCCTCTTAGGTGCTTCCTGGGGATACAATCAGAGGAGGGGATGGAAAGCAGGGACTAGAAGGAGCACGGTCCCAGAAGGGCGCTTTAGAAAGCTCTGGAGAGCTGGTCACCGAATTTAAGGTGGCCTGGAATGGGGTGCTCATTAACGAGGGAATATGAGAGTCTAAGGGTCAAACTAGAGGAGTAGAGGTCGGATAGAGAGGAACGGGCTGAAAACGGAAGAAACCCAGAAAAGGAGAAATACGCAGACACTTTGGGTAGGCTCGGGACTTTGGGGAACGGATGGGGGTGGAGTGGAGATACGGGCTTGGAATAAGACACCCTAGTGCAAGACTGGAGTTGGGCCCGGGGCAAACCCTAAGAAAGGTATTAAGTGGGATCTGCGATGGGGATCAGAGTAGGGACCCTTCCAACCCAGGAAGCCCGATCGCTGCGGGAAGCCAAAGCCAGCGGCTTTCTAGAACCCGGTGAGATGGAAGGGCCAAAGCTCTGCAATGTCGTTTATAATTTACACGGAGAAGAAAAGCTAACGAAATATAGAATTCCCTAGGCCTGTGCACCCCCAGCCTACCTTTGTCCGAGCTACAGAACAGAACCTTGAAAGACGCAAGGAGAAGCACCCGGCAATCGCCGGGACCCCAACCCTGTCCTGTATTCTGTTAAGGCTTGTCTCTCCTATCCCTGGAGTGGGAAGTGCCACGCGTGAAGACACCTATCCCTCTGAGTCTAAGGTCCAGAGAAACCCAGCTGCCGCCTTCCACCCCTAAGAAACCTACGTTTTCTGTCTCAACGATTCAACACTCTAGAGATGCTAGGGAGTCAAGACACAGAGCCCAGGGGCTCCCAGAATCGAGGCCTCTTCCCTCCCAGAAGTTGGGGCCCATCAACCCCTGCCAGCTCCCGGGGTTGTTTTGAGAGCGCCAAATCCTTCAGCGGAGGAATTCCACGCTCCTGGTGGGAACGGGACTGGGATAGGGGGTTGGGATTCGAGGTTATAGACGGCGAATTTGGAGGCCTAGGGCAATTCTCAACCACAGGAGCGGCTTGGCGGACAGGTGGAGGAGGAGCTCCGGCTTCTGCGGTGCAGCCGGGATTTCGGACGAGAGGAGTCAGTCTGCGCAGCTGCGTAGCGCAAAGTCCCTCTGACCATAGGTGTTCCTATGTGCTAGCCTGTTTGTCTCCAACAAAGCTGCACGAGCCAAGTGGGTGCTGTCTGCCTGAGTGTGTGCTTGTGTGTGCAAGCGTTATAATCAAGCCAATGCATGGGTACTTTCTGTGTAAAAGTACTGCTGCTATTGGGGAGCGTCTTGGGGTGTAGGCAAGTGCATCTGGGGTAACCATGCGAACTGTAAATAGATGCATGTCGTGTGCCTGTTTGTTCGTTGGGGAAAGGGGCTGAGGGTACGTGTCTCCCTCTGTACGTGTGCACGATTTCTGCGTGTGTCCGGAGGAGGAGACTCCCAGCTCAGCTGTTTCCCCCCCTCTCCTCCGGAAAATGCAGCTGTGACTCCATTCCGGAGCCCAAGGCAAACTCTCCCTTCGGATCCTGGTTTTCGTTCTCCCTCACCCCCTCCCTCTGCCCTAAGCCTTTCCCTATTTCTCCAGCTTTTGCAGGGTCTCTAGATTTGTCTCCCCCAACCCCCCTAACCTCAGCCAGACTGTCCTGCAGCAGGGGCAGTAAGAGGAGGCTCTGTGGATCTGAACAGGACACCACCTGGGGGCGTAGATCCCCACACAGCTAGGAAGGTCGGAGAAGGGGAGAAAAATTCTCGGGGGGGGGGGAGCATTGAAGCCTAGACCTCTGCGGGGTTCTTGTGGGGGCAGAGGCTGGCAATCACAGCTCAGGTAGGGGTGGTGACAGTCAGAGCTGGGAATCCCGCGCTCACCTGAATGGCGTTTGTCACGTTCCAACCCGCCTCCCACGCCGTGATCTTGGGCTTGTCTTGACCCCCGAACTCGCCACCAGCTCCCACGGCCTGGTCCTTGGAGCCAGACGGTGGCAGAGGAGCGCCGCCACGCTGGTAATGGATGTCTCCCTCGACGGGCGGTTCGGCACCCTCGTCTCCGCAGGGCTCGCCTTCCGATTTCAGGATGTCCATCTGCAGGCCCTGGCGATGCTCAAAGTCGAGGTCGTCGCAGTGCGCGAAGCCCACCGCCTCCTCATCCGTGGCCGCCTGAAACCCCATCCTGGCAAACATGCCGCTCACCTTGGCCTGAGACTTGTTGGACACGGATGTGGCCACATTGGTCAGCTTGCTGCGGAGCAGGGTGGCCATGGCGGCGGCGGGGCAGGAGAAAAGGACAGAAGGGGCTGGGGACGCGGCTAGCGCGTGTCAAGGCAGTAAAGGCCGCTATCTCCGCTGGCTCTTTGCGCGGCGCCCCCGGGCGCTCTGGCTCATGACCCTCGCGCCCGGCGTTCGAGGCTGGCTCCGGGTGTGATAGACTGACTCTCGATGGGACCGGCCGGAGAGGCGACGAGTGCTCTGCAGAGCTGGCGCGGGTGCCGGCTGGGCTGCGGAGGGCGGCGGCGACGGCGGCGTCAGAGCAGCTACGCGAAGCTGGCGCGGCGCCCCCACGCGGGCGCAGCCCAATGCGCTTGCACCCCTCGAAGTCAGGCGGTGCGTGGGCGGAGGGCGGAAAGGGGATGCTGCCCAAGCCAGGGGGCGTGAGGTGGGGGCCGGGAGGAGGAAAGGGGGGCACGGAAGGTTTCGGAAGTGTGGCAGGGGCTGGAGAGGGGCACCCTTGGGAAGGCGGCGGGAAGGAGCACTCGGAGGCCTGGGTGGGGGCCCCCCAAGTGCTGCATTTCTGGAGGAGGTGCTAAGCGGGCGTCCTGGCCCGTCCCACTTCGTCCCCGCTGCAAGGAGGGAGGAGTTCAGTATGGGCTGGTTCTCGAGGTCCTCCACACCCCCCCAACCCCGGCCAACCCTGCAGAGTCTCCAAGCTCTGCGGGCCCCAGAACTTGTGGCTTGACATCCGGATAGCCATCAGGACAGTTGCAGGTCTCTAGCCGAGCCGGGCGGGAGGACGTCTCTCTCTCTCTCTGCCATCTATTACTCGCTCTTAAATCTCTCCGCAAGTCCATCTTGTGACAGAAGTTACCATCTTGGATCACTTTGAAAGACGTTCACCCCCGGACTAGACCACCTAAGCTGTTTCTGCCGTCCAGGGATGCCACGATGGAAGCGGGTAGCTCGCCACCAGCTGCTCTCCAGATGCGCAGAAAGTGGAGGCGAAAGACTGGCAGTTCGCTTTTTTCCTCTCTCTCTCTCTCTCTCTTTTCATATGGAGGCTTGGAAGGAACAGGACTCCGAGGATGCCTCTCGTAGCAAATGCTTATGCCGAGACAGGCAGGATTACGGCCCTGCGAACCAGGGCGCAGATATACGAGTGCGCTCGGCCAGGCTCGGATCATCGCCCCCTGGATTGAGAGCTTGGACGTTTCTGTTGAGTGCGTACGTGTGCGAGCACGAAGACCAAAGAGATCCAGAGACAAAGACATCGCATCAGATACCGCTGTGGGTCGGCGCTGTGTGAACTCTGAGCGTGAGGTTTGGTAACCGTGTGCATTCCGTGTGTGGTTTCTCAGTGTGGAGCTGGTGTTCCTGAATGGAGTTGCCTGCGTGCGTACTGGCGTGAGTCCCTTTGTAGTCTCCATGAGATGCTGAGGCTGCTTCGTGGAGGTCCCTGCCTATGTCCTTCCTCAGCTAGGTTCTTTCTCTAACTCCTGAGCAATAAACCACGGGATGGGACCTGCAGCAGTCCCAGCCTAGATAAAGAAGTAGCATTGTCACCGGGCCGAGGAAAGCTGAAAGAAATGATAATGACTCCCAGGACTCATGTCCCCTCTGGAGACTCTTTCTCCGCGGGAACCCCAGTCTCCCCCTCCCCTGCAGTATTTTTAGATTAGCCCAGGTCAGCGCACAAGTAGGGCGGCCTGAGGGCTTTGATCAGCGAGTAGGAGCTGCCAGGACTAGGCCGGCTACCCTTAACCCCTCCCCCTTCAACTCAAGCGCCTCACGGTCTCTGGAAGAGGTCTCTGTCCCAGGTAGGGGACGTCCATACGTCGGACGGAGTGCTCCTCATCCTTCCCCCACACCCCCCACTTCCCTTTCATGCCCACTGCAAAAAACCCCACCTCCTACCAAATCAAGATCAAAACCCTTCCCCCCTAGTATGGCGAGTTCTGGTCACCTCCAGCCACTAGATAGAAGCAAAGACAGGACAGAGATTCTTTCCCAGTAAGTAGTATGCACAGATGATCTCCCTTCCAAAAAAAGCTTTGAACAGAAGGACCCTTCAACCCAGAGGTTTGCCCTGCAGATTCTTCCAGACCAGGCTTTCCACCATCCACTCCCTCCTTGCCTCTTCTTCCTAGAGGAATTCCTCTGGCCCACCTGACATATGTAGGCAGAAGGACCCAGTGCCTTTGCAGAGAGTGACCTCTGTGCCTCTCAACACACACTTTGAGATAGTCAGGGGTGCCTTCTTTGACATGCAAGTCCAAAGCACTTTCCTTCTCTTCCATTTTCCTTACAGTATTTGTTTATTTGTTTTTATTTGTTGGTTTGTTATAGGACCAGAGCAGGCTTTAGGGTTCTTTCATCAGTGAGAAATGGGACCATTTAGTTTTTCACTCGTTCAGTCCACCTTTTTATCACCCTTAGTGTGTGTGTGTGGCTATTCTGTTGGAATTACCAGAGCAAGTGTGCCCCCCCACCCCCCGCACTCCTCACCCCAATTCTCAACTCTGAGACCTAATTCTGAGAGAGCACTTGATTTATCCTGTCTTCTATCTTCAAATATCCCGACAGAGCCTCTTTTCATCCCTAATTTTACAGATAAGCAAACCCTCATTCCTGTAACGCAGTGAAGTGTCCAGCTCAAGGTCATTCAGAATCCAAGAGAAAGCCAGCTTAGAACCCAGGGAGCTAGATGATTCCCCAAAGACCCTTCCTGGGACTATGTAAACCTCATCCTCTCTCTCAGGCTGTTGTTTGGTCTTTGATTCAAACAAAATCAGATCTCAGTTCCTCTGGTTGAAATGAGCTGTGAGCAGCCATTGGGAAGGACCTCCATTTCCTGCTGTTTGCAGTAAATGCCTCTTCCTGGGCTGAAAGTGGATGTGGCAGGCTCCTAAGCAGTCTGTCACTTACATGGTAATCCTGCTTCATCATATCCCAGCTCTAGGGTGTCGGGCTATCTCCCTAATTCCTCTTACTCTCATTTTCTCATCCCTACCATGTGAGAATAACCTCATATAATTGTTCAGAGAATTCAGAAAATTCTTGTATACAAAATTGGTAATGTGTGTTTTGTGCCTAATATGTGGCAGCCATTGCCACACGTATTGTTGTTACTGTACCCAATTGCTACTTATTATTGTTGTGGGGGGGTGTGAGTGCACAAACAAAAAGCACATGGTTGGGTCTGAGAGTCTAATTGGGCTAGAACACTTTTTGTCTCAGCCCCCTGCCCCTTCCAGTTCTGAGCCTACCTGAGGATAAGGGAATGGTGGTCAGAAGGAGTGTCAAGGACATGAGACCTGGCAAGTGGCCTCAGCTAGATGATGATGAGTTGGGCTGTACTTTGATGAAACCAACCGATTCTTCTGCATGGCTTCTCTTGGGCCCCCACTATGAGAAGATTCTGCATGGGCTATGACCCTTAGTAGAAGCACAGCATATACACATACAAGCTCACACACATACATGCTCATACATACATTCATACACACACAAACAATGACAAACCAAATGACAGAAACATGGAGAAATGAGAATTAGCCTACAGATTTAAGGACACTGGGAGACTCATACAGATGGACAGAACAGCGGACAGAACTACATACAGATCAAGGACAGACCAACACATAGACAATGAAAGATTGGTACCAAGACTGCCCCCATACGAAGAAACCAGATACCGAGGAGTCATTCTCACAGGCAGGTAACAGGCTTAGACACATATGAACACAGGGATCAATGCAAACATGGAGGATTATACACAGGCAGGCTCCCAAACATGAGGACATGAACACACAGAGAGACACATGATTCACACTGAGAACAACACTCAGGAACATCCTCCTGTGATGACTGAGGGTAAAGAAGCGAGAACAAAGGAGGTGAGGGCAGGAAGACAAGAAGAAACAAGATGGGAAAGAGACCACCAGGCAGAGCCACCAGCCAGCAGGACACAGAAGAGGCAGAGGTGCCACGGACTTCCCCTCTGACCCCCAAATCCTGTGACTAAGAAATGGGGAGGGAGGACTAGTGGGGAGGGAGCTGAAGCTGTAGCTATCCTGTCTGGGAATGGATAGCTCTTCTAGGGCCACCGTGGGTCCCATTGCCTTGGGAGAACCTGGACTTCCTGGCAGAGTACACAGAGAAGCTCCCAGGACTCCTTCAAAGCCTATAGATTCAGGCACTACGGATCAGGATTCTGGGGCCCAGGTAAAATGAGCCTCCTCTCCTGAGTCAGTCATTGAAGCCTTTCGGGATCCAGGGAGTTAAATGTCTGCCCAGCAGAGATGGAAGTCACTTTGGGGGAAGAGGTAGGGTTAATAGAACTGGGCTTATCTCCCAGAGCAGGCAGTGACATGGGGGAGGGGAGCCTGAAGCCCTTGAATTAATGGCCTGGAAAGCCATCATCATGAGCGTCATTTCGGGGCTGAATGATCACAGACAGACCCCCTTTCCCTGCCCCCACTATGGCTCAGAGCCCTCCTTTGCCTTTTCTGTCTGTGAGCCTTTTCCTGCTGAGGGCACAGGCTCTGACATCCTGCAGTTGACGTATTCATTCTAAGGCTTTTATAACGGAAAGGAAGGAGCCATGCGGGGTTGCCCAACAGTAGAACCCGGTTTCCTCACGCTATGTCCACAGGCATAAAGGAAGGGCCAGGCAGAAGGCTCCAAGTGGGCAGAATACACATGGAACAATTGGGAGGGACAAACTAGAGGGTGTAAGGGCTGCCTTTGCTGACTCAGGGGACGACACATTCAAGTACATTAGTGACTGTAAACCTAGAAGACTTCCTTGCTGAGGTGGTGACATATCCTCTCCTGGGGATATCCAAGCAGAAGCTGAATGACAATACCCAAGGGATACCAGATTTCATGACTGTTGGGCTTCTAGATTCATGATTTCTGTGCTGAGCATTCTAGAAAGCAACCAGGGAGCAAGGTACATATGGGCATAGTCCTTACCTTTGTTAACTAGCCCTTAAAGCCATAGGAAGCTGACCAGAATTGAAGGAAGAGCCCTAGACTTGATTGGTGGGTTAGACCAATGATGCTCTCCTTTATGAAAACACAGCCCACCTGTCGTGTGTGTGTGTGGGGGGGGGGAGCATAAAAACATATCATCTTTATTTCTCACTGTTTCCCTACACAGCATAAATATTCATTTTGGGTTGATCTAAATCATCAAGGGACCATATATAATCTAATGGCCTAAGTCTGGCCCTAAATTATGACTTCAAGGTAGATGTGACTTCTATGCTCATGTTATCTTCTGTGTAGCTGAAAGCTAGTCATATACACACATATGAGATGTGATTTTTTTTTTTTTTTTTTTTTGGTTTTTCGAGACAGGGTTTCTCTGTGTAGCTTTGCGCCTTTCCTGGAACTCGCTTTGGAGACCAGGCTGGCCTCGAACTCACAGAGATCCGCCTGGCTCTGCCTCCCGAGTGCTGGGATTAAAGGCGTGCGCCACCACCGCCCGGCTTGAGATGTGATTTTTATTTAGATAAGCTTAGGGACCATGATCAGATCCAGAGAGTTCCTTTTGGAACTTGAGCTTACCACATACAACTGAGGGACATCAGGACAGAGGCTCTAGTCCCAGCAAGCCATGTGAGAAGGACCCTGGACTCCAGGAGCTCAAAAGCACTATGGTCTGGCCTCCTACACCCCTGGGCCTGCTGGAACAGAGTTGGTCTTTATCAGGAGCTGTGGGTGAGCTTGATATTATTGAAAGCACTCTCTGGGGGTTGTTCCCCTACTGTGTCAAGGTGACATATTCAAATACATCAGTGGCTGTTGATCGCTTCATGTTCTTTTGCTACGGTAGTCTTCTGCCACCGCAGTTGGTTTTAAATCATTACCTGCAGAGCTGGACACGGGAAGATGATGCTGGATGGTTGGTGGCACCAACTAGGAGGAGAAGGAAGGCTGGGAGGGAACATGATGAGGGGTGAGGTGTGTGTTGGATTACTGAGGCTAACGGAGTGCCCCTTGCTTCAGCTAGAAGCTTCTTTGGTCAGCTTTTGCTGGACAAAAACTACACTCAAGTTGGGCTTGATGGCATAGGCAATTGGGAGATGGATTTGGAGGCTAGCCTGAGCTACACAGTGAAATTCTATTGCAAAAATTAAAAGGGGAGGGGGGAGCATTGAGATGGCTCAGCAAGTAAAAATGCATAAAAGAATTTACCTGATGATCTGCATTTGATCTCCAGACCCAAAGTAGGAGAGAACTGACTTCCTGGGGTCACCCTCTGATCTTCATGTATCTGTGCACATACACACTCATGTGCGCGCATACATACACACACACACACACACACCATAAAGCACACACTAAAAATAATAATTATTATTATAATGAATCCCAAACAAAATAAACAATGATGA